ATACCAGCACTAATTCCACATGCAAGAAAATAATTTAAAATATCTGTATACATTTCAATGCCCAAGATTCATAAGAAGTTCTAAATTAGCCTCCTGTGGATTCCCGTGACCTTTAACGCTTCCTCAGGTACATGATGTGTTGAACACTTCATCACTGGCCTTTAAGCATCAGATCTGGTCACAGTGACAGATAAATGGAAGTGATAAGGCAGCAGCGAGAAAGACACTTAGTATTTCATATATTAAAAAAAAAAAAAGAGTTTTCTAAGAAAGAGAAATTCAGCAGTGCTTATGTGTTACAATAGGTTTGTAAGATGAGGTTTATAAGACAAATCTCCCTCCAGCTGCTTCTTCTTAATTCATCTGCCAAGTTGAGAAGCATCAGCCTTGGGTCTCTCTCCTTACACCCTGAGACTGGCTGTGCAGCTTTGACCACCACTGCCCTACTGTGGCTAGCAGACATGTCCCAGGCAGCTGGCATTTGCAAGGGATCTCGCTTTTCAAAGCAAAGCCATCTCTTTGGAAAGTCTCACCCTCCTGTGGTACCTGACCAGCAATGGGAAGGCAGCCAAGGGAGTGAAGGAAGACACCCAGGTCTTGGCATGAGAGTTGTCCCAGCTCAGCTTGTATCCCCTGAGGCACAGTCTGGAGCCGCTGGGCTGCTTGTGGGAGCCGGTGCCCACTGGAGACTTCTCAGAAACACTGCGGACGCGGGTGAGAGAGCACCTCACACCAAGCAAAGACACCGATCATCATTTCCTTCCTCTTTTCCAGAGACAGAAACAGCCACCACCACACAGAGGCCCATGCCCTGCTGCTCCGCCCCTGCATGAATCATACCCAGGGTGAGAGGAGACACGACAGAAGTGCCCCCGCCCTGCCTTGTGTGGGGCAATTGTGAAAGACCTGAGACAGACATGCCACTCATTCACTCCATAACCAGAAAGGCAGCAATAACTATTATTTTGTTTGCTAATTACTCACAGCTCACGCAGGGCTGCAGGTGCTCAGGAAGGGATGTGCCACAGGGTTTAGCTCAGTGCTTTGAGACATTCCCCCCTCCTCCCTCCTCCAAAATACAGCAGCTGGAACCCAGCTGCCAGTACAACAGTGGTTGCAGAAACCAGGCCCTGTCAATGGCTTGGACACTGACACTGATTTTAGAAATGGCACACAAAATAAACACGTTACTGCAAGGCCACCTGCAAGTGGCAGCAGGTCACTGACTGAGGCAGGGCCAGCTCTGTTTGCAGAGTAGGGCAGTTGCTGTGACACAGGTAAGAGGAGTCCCGAGGAGCATCTCTTCTGTCCTGCTAAAAACACAGGGCAGCTTGGTGGCGATGCTCTTCTGCCTCACGAGTGACATGGACAGGTCGGCTATGAGAGGTAAATGCTGACAACTAGTAGGATGTTTTGCTCTTACCATTGTGAAGGAAATCTCTGAGACATAAAACATGTTTCCTCATATTCAGAGACAAAAATTCATTACTGTCATTTCAGAGCAAGGGAGTTTGGCTAATCCAGTTGTGGTCATTTCTGGCTTGTTTAAGAAGCTGAACTGACTTTTAATTAAGGTAGTTAACTTGCTCACAAAGGAAAGAGCAGACAAGCATTTAAATGTTCTGAAATGAAGCTTTTTATTCCTTTTACATTAACCTCAGCTGTTCAACCAAAGCACTAGGAGAAAGTGCTAAAAAGGCATGGATTGTCCCATATATTAGAAATTATTCTAATGGCTGTATTCACTCAAATGCCTTAGTAATACAGGAAAGGCTGAGATGGCAAGAGTACTGACATTTTTTTCCTTCACGTGTGATCCCTCTGGTGACTTCTTTTATAATGGTGCCATGTATAGAGTCCCTTAAACACATTTTCTTTATTAACAAAAGTATCAGCTAGTTTGTTCTCACAGACTTTAGTAAACACAGAGCACCCACAAAAATGGCACAAAAATTTGCAAACTGTTAATTGCAAATATCAGGCAAAACAGAATCAATTATATCTAGCAAGCTTGAATAATTTTCCGTATGAAAAATCAGGGGGCAAGAGTGATGATTTGAAACATATTTTTACTATTTACTTGTAGAAAATGTTTATATTGTATGCTGCATATCAATTAAGTTTAAAAGCCTGGGAAATCTATATTTAAAATAATCCTTTTCTTGAAAAAAAACTTTTAACCTATTTTAATAGCAAGCAAAAATAAGATTAGCATCAGAATAACAAACCGAAAGAGATCCGTTTGAGAAGATAGAAGGAGACTATTTGGACGAGGTCTCTTCCCTCAGCTGAAAGCTTGACCCAACTGAGGCAGGGCTGCATATTTTTTTCTGTTTAGCTGTTTTTCAAAGCAAAAGAAGTTGAAATTTAACATGTGTCATTTTAATGTATTTTAAATACCAGAGTCAGATTTTAACCTCTAAACAGTACGCAGGGACCCTGTTACCCAAGTAAACACAAGCAAAACCACCCTGGAGGGGTTTCACAGGAGACCTCAGCAGCCCCTCGTTGTTGCCACCACAGACGACAGGGCTGCTGCTGTCCAAGCTGCAAACCCCAACATACAACCTGGCCAAATCTTCGTCTGAGTTCTGGTGTGTCTAGATTTCAACCTCTGTTTTGGGGTTGTCACACTTTTTGAGCACATCAGTTCTATAGCTCAGGGAAAACTGCATAGTTACAGGCACTAAAATATATGTGTTTCACAGTTCGTTCCCAGTGAAAAGTGCCTTTTAGCTTTGAGAGTCTGAAAATAACCAGGCTGTGAAAATTTGAACAATTTTTTTTCACGGAGCATGAAACCCCAATCCCCATTAGTTTATACTCTTTCCAAATTGATTTTAAAAATCAGCTGGCTTTCAGCGGCCTCACACCTTGCATTTGGTCCAGAATGCACAATCAAGTGTATATCAAGCCATCCCTAAATTTCATGTGTATCCTGTATCGTCAGTTCAGGCATCTCAAAGAAGCCCATCCACTTGGCTTCACTGAATTGCAACAGGCATCGGTTTCTTAATTTTGTAACACACCATAACAAGTTTTGTGAAGCTAATACAGATGAGATGAGATTTTCAGTTACAGTGTGATTCTGGAGCACATCTTTATCTCGCTTCGTCTGTGATAACAATTCTGTGGAGCCTTTTGGTGTCTGAATGTGGCACTTTGTGGTAGATACCACAACACAGCATTCTCACCTGATTACTACTCCTCAACTGCATGAACTGTTGTAAACAAACTTTAACACACAGAGAGAAAAAAAAAGACAATTGAATAGAGCATTCTGGAAAAATAAAATACTTGAAACCAGGTATTAAATCCATTAGTGGAATAGGAAACATAACAAAAATGTCCCCAGTTATAACAGATTTGAAAATTCACAACATGGTATTTTGTATGCAATCTTTAATGTTCAAACAGTAACAATGGCTACTTTTAAATTAGAGTTACAAAACCTAGGACTTCCAGTGGAGAGGCATTGCAAGAGTTGACATGTAGAAGCATATTTCTCCCAAAAGCCAAAAGATTTTTAACTGAGGACAGCAAATACCTGTCCACTTGTGTAACACTACAATGTACAATGCCATTCAGATTCTTTTACAAACATGTCAGTTTTAGTGTTTCAGGAAGAAATCAACACTTGAGAGGAAAGAGAAGTAAAAAAGAGAAGAATTCAGGGAAGATGGGTAGTGACAGAAGTCCTGTCTTGTGTGCTCAAGTTCAGAAGCTTGTAAAGATTTAAGGCTGATATGAAAACCTCAGATAAGACCAGGATATATTTATGATCAGAAGCCTCCCTTACAATCAGGTTGATGAGTGGTAAATATTCAACTGTCCAGAAGCTGGTGGGGCAATCACAACACCGAGTATTCCGTGTCCCGCTGGTATTCAAGGTGCCCACAGTGTAAATACCTGCTCACCTATATCACAGGCAAGATAACCCTGCTGGGCTATGTGCCACCTTTTATGGCAACATGCTATAAGCCCCTCAAAGGTTAGTTCTGAGCTAGCTGAAGGACAGGGCAAGGGACAAAGCAAATCTTGTGGCACTAAGAAATTCTTTTGGGATGAGACAGATCTGCAAGACCTGAGGGAGCGTGCAGGACAGAGGCGACAGATAATAGGAGGAGGAGGGGACTGCCACCACTCACAAGGGATGTACAGCATTGTGTCTTGAGCCCACTTCATCTTCTACCAGAGTTCTCTTACACATCTGAAGTTTCCATTTCTTTTGCCTGCCTTTCTGCGCAGGAGGGTAACTTGGCCCCAGTACATACATCAGGATTTGGCTCCCAGACCTGACAGGCTCCCCATGATGTAAAGCCTGTTTCAGTCTTACTTAGATACAACCTAGGCAGTTATTCTTAGCATGCAAACAAGCAAACAAAAAAATAATTTAGCCATTCTAAAGGCATCCATTCAACCTTGCTATGTACTTAATCTTTTACTAATGTAGATGACTGATTTCACTAAAACCACTGTTCTGAAAAAAAAAGTGTACTAAAAATATGTGAGAATTTAAGTGCTCATGAAAAAATATCCTCCATCTCTGGAAACTGAAGTCTTTTGCCTCCAGAATTACAGCAGGGACAAGAGAGGTGATGGTAGCACAGATTCATCCCTGCCAGCCCAACTGTATGTCTAAACCAACCCTGTCTGCAAGCCCTGCTGAGGATGTAAGCCAGTGAAGTCTAGGAAGAATCAGATTAGTTTCCCACCTTTGACCACACTGTTGAGGAATAATATTAAGGTAACAAATCTCACAAAACTGCAGGAGGCAGCTGTTTGATTACTCCTATGCTGGACATACTGATGACTGTTATACAATGACTCAGGCATGTCTAAGAAGTGTTAGGCTTGCCTGCATGTCATTTATTACATGGATAGGACAATTCATTTCTGTGGTTAGCTAAAAGGAGAACCTCCAAAATATTAAAACCAACTTTCAGGATTTTCCAACAATATATCCAAGAGTCCTCTAAATAAAATACACATTGGTCAGGTTTTACATACTACATTCTTAAGTAAAAAAAAATATCCACAAGGACGGAGGTGGGGGCTGATCCAGGCAGAAGTTCATCATTAAATAAATGCAGATGCAGACAAACCAACAACTGAGGAACATTGACAGAAACAAAACCAAAATCAGTACTGCTGTTATCTGCAGATCTGCAGGCTAGGCCCGCTCCAGTTCAGGCTAGCAAAGTCCAAACACAGGCTTGTGAATAAGGGTATGCACCTTTAATTTTTCAAGATAGCGCTCTTGTGTTTTGTAAGGGTAGAGGATCAGATAAAGAGCACATCTGTCTCACAAGAGGCACCTGCACTGTGGTCCTGCCAGGAGCTCTCCCTCGATTCACTTCCCATTCTCTCTGCTGCAGTATCTTTGTGAGAAAACAGAAAGAACAAATGTGAGCAAAACCGCTGCTGACAGTCGTCAAAAGATCTTGCACTCGTTAATGGAGAAGAGCTTCCGCCTGCTCTGTCTTTTGGCTTGATTGACCGCTGTCCGCACGGCACACTCAAACACCTGCTGCACGCCCCTGTTGCTGAGGGCAGAGCACTCCAAATAGCCTTTGGCTCGCACGTCCTGGGCGAGCCGCTTTCCATCTATAGGGCTGATGCAGGAGGAACTGTAAGGACCCACGTCACGCTGGTCAGTCTGAGTGGCCACCACCAAAACGGGGATGCGGGGCAAATGGCTGCGGATCTCACTGATCCATTTGTTCCTCAGGTTCAGAAAGGAATTGTGGTTTGCTACCGAGTAGCACATTAATACCACATCTGCCTGTTGGTAGGAGAGGGGGCGAATGCCTTTAAAGGCATCACTGCCAGATGTGTCCCAAAGACCTAAGCTGATCTGTACACCATCCATGAAGACATCCACTCCAGTATTTTCATATACAGTGGGTCTGTAGTCATCTGGAAAAGTCTCAGAGGTGAAACGTACCAAGAGAGATGTTTTCCCAACAGCAGAGTCTCCCACCAGAACACACTTGACTGAATCCAGCATTTTATTAATGTCCCAGGCCAAGGGTGCAGTGTCTGTGCAGCAGGAGTGAGATGGAGAGATGCAGTGGTCTTAGAGACCTTCTATATAACTTCCATTTAGTGAGAAACCATCCATATCTCTTTACTTCTTATGACTTGATTCCACCACTTGAGACGAAAATGTTGTTTCCTCACACGTGACTCTGTCGGTTTAAAATCTTCAGTGAGTCAAATGATGTTTCTGGAAGAGTAAAAAAAAATGTAATATTTATAACCCATACAGAACAAACCATTCCTCATCAAGATAAAGATGCCTGGACATATCTTTAGACAGGCATGGCAAGTATCCCTTACTGAGGATGATGAACTTCTGCATTTCCTCCCAGCCAGCTGTGTGTGCAACAGCCATTTGCGTAAATAACCTTCTTGCTGCTCCACAGGGGCTAACAGTCTTATCACTCTTGCCATTTTCCACTGACACAAGCTATTTTTTCCCTCCAATTGTCTAAAGACTAATAAAATTCAATTAACTTTGGTATAACTGCTACTAATATGCTGCAAGACATTCCCTGGCTCTGACTTTCACCAAGACTGTCAGAATCCTGAATCCTTACATGATCAGTTCAGATTCCCCTGAAAATGTACCCATGCTCTCTAGAGGTAGTCAGGAGAAAAAAAGCTCTTTGCTAACCAATTTGATTATTTAAACATCCTATATGGAACAGTAACACAGAACCACTTGTGACAATGAGGAAGCAAAGACTTCAGGTGTGAATCTCAAGTCACATGAACAAAGAGGTAATTATTTTTTTTTTTTAATAAATTGCTTTCAACAATCAAGAAGCATAAGCCAAAGAAAGCCCCACTACCAATGCTTGCCCCAGTCAAAATTTCATTTGAAGGGGATATAACTGTCCTGGCACTTACTCTCTTGTAAAACTGAACTAAGAGTACTCTTCAGAGTTTGTAATTGCTTTTGAGCTCCTGCCAGCATTCAGTCAAATTTTCCTATTTTGAAAGCATTTCTTTCTTCCCCACTAGCTGTGTGCAAGATTCACTGCTCACACAGGGTGACACACAAGATGCTCCGAAAATCACTAACGGCAAAACTGAAGACAAAGTAGTTCTGATGAACAAGAGTAATTAAAAAGAAAGTATCACTGCATAATTTCAAAATGTCATGTGTTTGTTACATAAATAATATATTCCTGCTTCCTTCATATATGTAGAGAGACATTACACCTGAAGGCTATTTGCACAGAAATGAATGATGGCAACAAAGGGCATATACTGTATTTTACTGTAATGCTCTCCACTTTCAGCACCCTAACACACCACCCCCCTCCCTCTTCATTTCTAGTACACTCCAAGCTTTAGTTTACTCCACAAAGGGGGAAAAACAAAGGAAAACTGCTAGATGAGCTTAGAGTGAACATTTTACAGGTACTGACTGAACTGCTATTGAACTGCTACTGGCAGTTTCATTTTGTATTGAGGCCATGCCCTACCTCCTCTCGTGCTGCTGGCACACCTGCACCTCTCCCACCAGATGCCCCGGCTGCAGGAAGATGCGTGGCCGGAGCACGTTGCTTTATAGAGGTGGCACCGAGCCTGGGGGCTGTCACCAAGCCCGGGGGCTGTCCCCGCACGTACTCGAGTTACGGTATCTACAGGAGTCATTGCAACAGACGTTGCTTCCTGGCCCGCCAGCGAGACCGGCTGCTCTCAGCATCGCCACTCGATTCTAGGAAGTGGGATGGAGGCTGAGGCTGCTTCACGACATTCCTGGCTGCCGGGAAACAGGCGCTCTGTGAATTTAAGTTTTAATGGCAGCAAATGAAAGTTTGGTTTTAAAGATTCATTAGGTCTAGCTCCACTCTCTCACCTTCTCTGTTTTCCAAATATGCTCTCAAGGGAGTTAAACAATACCTTTACAAAACACGTCTACAAAAAATTCAAAAGCATATGTAGGATGAACATTCAAATTGCTTATATGAATCATAATCTCTCTGTCAGAGTATTCTACTTCAAAATTGGGTCAGCAATATAGTTTGAGAACACCTCAACTTCACCACAAGGCAGTAGTGTCCTATTCAGATAAAGCCGCATATTCTCAGGAGAAAGTTTCCATGTATCAAGTATCCTTTTCAGAATAAACATTTCTTTGGAGAGACTAGTCCTCAGTGCCTTCAGGTTCACTATTTTGTGCACATTGGAATGTGGGGGAAAATAAGGATGTCCGAAGAATGACTTTTACAATTTTATAAATGTCAAAATGGAGAAAGACAGATAAAAAGATTGTTCTGGCACTCAACTTGCTGATTACCAGGTCAAATTATACTGGCTATTTTGAAAGAAAGTATAAAAATTATTAAAGACTGAAAGAGATATTAAGTATTAATGAATATGGCTAGTTGACAGACAATAACAGAAGCTGAAATATTCCACTGTGACAGTGCAGAATTGTTTTCAAAGCAAATTATATTGTTCTACATTCCAGCAATGAATAATAAAAAAATCTGGTATATAACAAGGTCCATATTGTGGTCCTGTGGATAAAATGCTCTCAGTGGCCCTGATCTCACATTTGTTCACAACAATTCATGTGCCTCCATATACAATCAGGACTACATATGTGCATATTGAAGTATTATCTTTAATTAGGCACATAGCTGGTCCTTGTTGCAGCCTCAGGATAAGAGCAGCATTAGGGTAAGAGCAGCAGTAGTGTATTAAACTAATTACACAAGTTCATCTCACTGGATGGAAAATGCTTGATTAAACATCAACTGTTCTTTAAAGACAGTACTTTAAAGTGTCCTTTAAAGACAGCACTGGGACTTCTGTGCTTCAGTACACAATCAGTTTTAGAAATATTTGTAAAAGTTTTGGTCCCTTTCTCTCATATTCTGTCTTGGTCCGACAGCACAGTGTGCTACGACCATTACAAGATTGCAGAAAACCTTCTGATCATAGATCAGAGATGGAGTCTAGCTGCTGAGGCATTTTCTTTTCCTCCAACAATTTGATTTTCAAAAATTTACCAACTTTATTAAGATCACTTTATGAAATTCAGTATATAAACCTGTATCTTCTTTTACGCTTTCTTTTTGGTTTATGCTTTCATCACTCATAACAACAGAAGATATTATTTGAATAATAAGGTAAGACTTTTTATGAAATCATTAGGTATAAGAATGCATGTCTTATGTGGTCATGCTGAGTAGTGATCTTTATTGAAATTCAGGTTTTGTTCCTTCTGTCTCTGGAATACAGACACTAGTGTGTAGTTACAGAGACCTCGGACTTCACTGATGATGTGAGCACAAGAAGCCCTACAACAGTCGCTCTTTGGCAGTGTCTGACCTGCACCTCAGCAACCTCCTGCAGGTAAAATGCCTCACACTTGATCATGGCTGAATAGGATACAGAGAAGGTGAGTGGGACTGCCAACCTGCAATGGGATGGGGTGAAAAGTAGAGCACAGCAGCACTGAGCTCTTTGCAGGTAGAGGATTCAAGTGAATATACGTCCCATGAAAAACTAATCTGGTATTTGCTGAAAGAGCTCTACCAACAAAAGAAAGCAGGACTACTGTATCAAAAGGGGTAAGTTTATCAACTGAACCAAATGAGATTTTAATTTATGCCAAGAATATCTCTAGCATCTGCTATTAAGATCATTGTGAGCATGACTCGCTATTGCTAAACATGTCCAGGGGATGGACAGCATCTTATGATAGGAGAAAATAAAAACAGTCAGGAACTTCTAATTTCAAAACGTATCTTAGATACTGATAATGCACACTCAGGTGGCTGGAATTTCAATGGAATTAGCAAAACAATCTGGCAAACAACTAGCTTTTTAGATCAGACACTCACAAAACGCTTCAGAGAGTTAAAGTAGTAAACACGCTAACTATTATTGCCATTATTCACTCCCTACCTCAATTACATCTCAGCAGAGTTCCGTTTATGTCAGATTAACAGCAGATTAAGTTTTCAGTTTGAGCACTATGTATGCTAGTTCTGGAAGAGATTTGACATGGCAAGGAAATTAAAATATTTATACTAATAGAAAAGGTTGAAAATCACAGGAGAGAATTCCACTAGCTGCCCAGTGCTTGAATGTACATACTGTCTTTGTCTACCTACTCTACTCTTGCAAGTCCCACTTCACACAGAGGTGGGGTCTGCAAAATAGTCACTACAGTTCTTCTCCAGCATGCTGATTGTAACCACTGCTCCTTCCAATTGCACCACAGATATGTAAGAACTCTCCTCACATCCCTTAGTTAGACACCCTCAAGGAGAGGAAGGAGGCACAAAAACTACCTTCACTGACCAGAACAGTGTGCAGCTTTACACCTTCACCTCCATGGGCACAGTGGGCACTGTAGGGCAGGGACAGGGCCTGAGAACAACTCCTGCAAGCAGGATAGGGAGGAGGAGAAGGAAGGCTGGCAGGAATCAAGACAGGGCAGAGACACTGTTGCCTGGTTTGTGACAGCGCCCAGAAGATGCAGCCCCTGTGACACAGAAACTGTGGCTGTTGTGACTCCAGTCTGGACGCTCTACTAGATCACCAGATTATCAAGGTGACACTACCTGGTTTTCAGCTCTGTAGGCAAAGTGTACCTGCTCCATTCAGGTACAAACCTCCAGACTGCTTTCACAGCACAGGTCTCCTGAAAACGAATCCATCAGCTGCAGTCTGTCTGGAGACTGCTGCTGGTGTGCAAGCAAATGGCCCCTTGCTGCACCTATCATGCATTCATTAAGCTGATTCTCTGACATCTGCATTAGCTGCCTCCTGTTTTTTTAAGTCATTTTAAGACAATTTTGATCTATAGCCCTGTCTTGCCAATCAGCCTCCCTCCACCTCAGAGAGTGTCAGCATTTCAGTCCATAGTGGCATTCACTGGTGGTACCACTGCCATGAAGGAGAACTGGCTCACAGCCTTTACCTTTGCAAGACGCTGCATCTTTTCCCCAAACTACTCCACCAAAAAATCTCCATTCAACTCATTCACTTCCTAAACTGGCTACCACAGGGGCCATCACTATTCCTTGGCCCAAGAGCGAGATGGCAGGTTACTCATTAGCAGAATAATTCAGTGTCTGATATATTTATAATACTGGTGGATTAATTGCCAGTTTATTTTTCAAGGCGCTTTTATATTTCAAAGAATTGAAAGGATGCTTAGAAGCTTGGATGAGTGCTTTCATACAGATATTTTAT